ATGCAATTTCAATATCCGCCGGTCTCATTATTTATTGTTCATAAACCTCACGTGCAATTGGGGACCCGGTGAATTGTGTTTTTTTTTTTTGTGTGCGTGGGCGTAATTCATCTTGAATTCTAAAATACATCGCGACCGGGGCTTCTAGGGAGGGAGAGACGAAAGAGAACGGTTCCAATGTTTTTTAAAGTTCTGCGTTGTGGATTTAAAAACAGGCCTATTTCTCCCGTGTCTTTTTTTCTCTCCGGCTTGCACCGCGTGGCTATTCGGGCGCCGAAGTTTCAATCCGCGACCCGCGAGCTTCATCTACAAGAACTGGCGGAGCAGCTCGTGGGCGCGGTCTCTCTCAGCTACGTAGTCGCCGTTCTGCTGCTGATGATGTTTGGTGTTGACCGGCCGATGTTCACCGTTAGCTTCGTCGCACGTGTGGCCATACGAGCTGGTCGCTTGTGCATATGTTGTGATACCGGAGAGAGCTCTCGTGTAGGGGTCCCTTGCCTATACAAGTTTCAGCTGTTCACCAGCATTGGTTCGAGCAAGCATGACTCTGCTGATGAGACGCCGAATAACAAAACTGGTCCATTGTTTGCTTGCAAGGCTGTAATTATAATATATATTGGGGGGACACACACCCCCGCCCATATTCAAATATGCTCAAAATGTCCGCTATGAAATAGATTTCTGTTTATATGATTGTGGTTATGGTTGTACTTATTAATCCTTAATCTCTGCCATTACATACAATGAAACAAGAAAAGGTAAAAAAGAACAAACAGATAAATGGAATACAATGCACTATTAATTATTGTAAAAAAGAAATAAAAAGTCCATCCTAAGTGTTAGTGATTTTTTTTATATTTAAGGCAAGAAATGGCAGGAAAAGAGTGTTCAAATTTATTTTTTTCTGGGGGGGGGACCCCCAGACCCCCTGGAAGATTTGGTCCCCACCAATGTTGACTCCATGGCTACGGCCTTGTTTGCTTGTATCGAACAGTGCTGCTGATAAGATGCGATCCCAGAAGGCCGTGCAGCCAATGGGATGTAGGAAAAATTTAAAATAAACTTTTTTGCGGAGAGACAAATATGGGAAAGAGGCATTCTTTCTCCCATGCATGCCAGGGTGATGCACCTCTATATAATCGAGGGAGAACATGAAACTATGCCCAATCAGTTCCTGAATAAGCTCCCAGCAAATGGAGCAAAAACGTCGGACATCACACTGAACAGCACGGGGTCCAACCTGAAAAACGTGTGAGCCCTCTGACAGCACAACTCTCAAAAAGATACATGGTGGTTATCTTACGTGCATCTTTAATCACCCCCTTAGCCATGTTTCACACTCCATCTAGTTTATTTATTTGACATTTTAGCTTCGCCTATAAAACATGAAGGGTGGTCGGATTCCCCGACCTTATAAATAAGCTCCGAGTTCGTGACAACACGTTATGTAATGTTTAAAAATAAGAATATTTAATGGCATAGTTATAAACCATTTGAGTTAACCATTCAACTGAATTTGTTGGCTGTACATGGTGGAGAGTGCGCTAAAGCGACCTGTGAAACGCGGACGGTGTAGATTTAAGAGGCGGAAAACGGCATTGAAAAAAACCCAACAAAAACGTACAAGTGAAGGTTATTTAAAATGTCACGCTGCGCTTAAGAGTTTATCTTGCGCCCTGCGACCCTTCCAAGGGCAAGTCGGTGTTGTGGAACAAGTTTGACACGCCCCTTAGCAAATTTTAGTTTTTCTTGGTGAAAAGTTATTCTCATCGTTATTATGATGATGACGGTAAAACACGTTTTTACGTGAAAAATGTTCAACATTAGCGAATAACAAATTACACCCTCCTTATCAAATGTGTGTTTTGTTGAAAGAGTTGCTCGATCATTAGTATTATGATGATGGCAAAACATTGCTTTCGTTTGTCCACGCCACACGTTTGTTCGTGAAAAATGCTGAAACATTTGCGAAGAAGAAAAAAGCCTCCACTCCTCGGGGCCAGTGCAAGTGCATTATAAAGCAATGACAACTATTTATGAGATACGAGCGTGCAGACGTGGAAGGTTATGTCGACATTGTTGAAGTGTCAAGGGTATAAAGTCAGTGGAGGGAGCGTTAATGCAGTGGCTGGTGCACTGCACTACGAACCAAGTGACCTGAGTTCGATTGCGTCACACAGCAAAAACAGGCGAGTGATTAAGTGAACTGCTCCTGGCCCCCCTCCATAGCTTCACCAAGCCCGCCGCTCTCACCACAACGTGGTGCAGCATAGTCAAACGAATCGACAAACGTCTAACTGCGGGAGAGACCTTTGTCCCGCAATGGATTGATAAAGGGGCCGTAAATTATTACTCGTTTAACCCTGCGAATTCCCCGATTTTTAAGACCTGCGATCGAGGGAAAGATTAACGCGGGCAAGGCCGCGCATAAACGCAAACGCTAAAAGTGGCCGCTCGTGTTCGGAATGAACCCCTCGCCCGCCACGTCCCACGCGGCGCTCCGCTGGGGCCTCTTGGCGTTTCGGCCACGGCGAGTCGTGCGTCGGAGCCCCCCCCTCCGGCCCTCCTCTCCATGGAACATCGGTGTGGGGGGCAGCCTTAAGAGCGGTGAACGGCCGGATGACTACGGGCAGGCACGCTCTGTCGCGGTGATATTTGGCACCGGCTGGTTGGGGGAAAGCTCACTCGTGATTTTTTTTTTTGGGGGGGTTAGATCACGTAAATAGATAAATGTATGCCGATTTAATGTGACGAATTGGCACGTTCTGTTGACGTGACAACCCTTACGAGTTGGTTGTGTCGGGTGGTGGCGGGTTTTAACGACACATTTATTTATTTACGCGATATAGCCCAAAAAAAACTCTTATGGATGATATTGGTCGCGAATTCCTCCTACGTGTTGAACTGGGAAGCTCACTGTCCATCGTGATGAACACGAGCGCAATGTTGCGAATGAACTTTGTTCGCAAGCCGTCGAGACGCTCTTTGGGGATTTCGCCATTGAAGCCTCTCAGCTCTCTAATAAAGTCGTTAACTGGGTTCCTTTTGACTAAAAATCAAATTACAACAATAATATTGTCATGTTCTCGGTTCTTTCGGTAAAGTCACGTAGAAGGGGAAACAATAAAATAATAAAAATCTTAAACAGTTAAATTCTCACGACGTTTCGACTGCAACACAAGCAATCATCATCATCAGGTGTGAAAACCACAACTTTTTTCAAATTTTCTTGTTGTGGTTTTCACACCTGATGATGATTGCTTGTGTTGCAGTCTAAACGTCGTGAGAATTTTATTGTTTTTAGATTTTTATTATTTTATTGTTTCCCTTCTACGTGACTTTACCGAAAGAACCAAGAATATGAATCCCTGCAGTCAGGAAAACTTTAAATAAAAATTTAATAATGTCGAGAGGTTTTTTTTATACTCTAATAATAATACACGCATTACAGGGTGAAGTCCATGAAGCATGAGTTTGCTTCCTCATTAGCCATTTGCGTTTCAGGATATTAGGCAACATGCAGTTGCATATTGCGATAGTTACATGCAAACAAATAGCAGAGCTAATTCATGAATGAATGTAACAGTTTTACATCATTTATATTGTAATGGTGTTTTTTTGTTGTTGTAAAGATATTACATGAAAGCCATCGGGAGTTTTTTTTTATTAATGAAACGGCAGTATTAAATTTCAAGCTTTCAAATGGGATGCAGCAATATTTAAGACGTCGGTGTGCATACATATATCCAGCGGTAGACGTTATAACCCCTCCAAGCGTGGCGCACAAGCCTTTAGTCTGGAGAGAAAACAATTAATTACATTTGTCAGATAAGAAGCTGATACAGAATTAGTTTTACCTCTTGTTTCGATTGAAAATGCGCGGTTGCAATTGGCCAAATGTTGGTCAAGGCTGACCAAAAGATAATGCACGTATATATTGCATCCTTCAAATTACTATGATATGCTCCAGAGAGTAAGATGCACCCCAAACTTGTACTCTGTGTGAATAATGTTATTTTAATTGGGTCGCACACGCAATAATCCGGAGAATGCGGCGACTCTCACTGGGGTATGATCTTAAAAGTAAAATGATCGTACGTTGAACTCAAAGACACAGATGGAGAGAAAATATGTTGTTACACTGCTACCGATTTTGTTGAAACATGTTTGTGCGTCATTCCACAATGAACTTGAGCAATGAAGTCATTTATGGATGAGCCTTGGCGATAGCTCTACGAATGGCATTATACCACACTTTTTTTAACACAGAGGCTGAACATTGGCCCAAAACATCAAAACGGCCAGCAACCAACAGCAATTGTCAAAATTGTAATAAATACTTGTTTGACGTGTTTGTTCAATTGAGCAAAGGCAAAAAAAATCTCGACAAAAGAGACGATGGTGGAAGGAGGGAATTCCCACAGTCGAGCACTGCGAGGGAAGAAGCAGAAAGAGAAGCAGCGTCTTGACCTGCATGAGTGACTGAGTGGCTGGGCGGGTGAGCGTGTTGTTGCGGCCTGCGGCATTGTGATTGACCACGACATTGATGAGAAAAATATGTATGGTGCGTAAACCATCGTTTTTATGACGGGAGTTAAGCCCCGGGGTGCCACAGTGTTTAGAGTAGTGCCGCGGTGGCGAGATGTTAGCTAGCTCGCCTGGTATACAGGAGCTCGTGGGTTCGATCCCGACCCTGACGCCTGCTGTTTATTTGGAGTTTGCAGTCTCTCTCCCCGTGGTCGTGTATGATTTTTCCCCGGGTCCTCCGGTTTTTCCGCTCCACGTTTAGAATCGACGTGCATTTATAGAGTATTCAGCTGCCATAAACTTCCACGTGATAAGCCACCTTCGTTACGCTATAATTTGCGGCGGTCAGGTCGCGTCTGAAAAAGAGCTATTCAGCTCGGTGGGCCTTAACTCCGATTATCGCGGTTGGCTACGCATGGTTCGAAAGAAGTTCAACGTAAACATGCACGTACAAAATAGTTTGTTGTTTTCGGGGTCCTCCTCGGTTCTCCCTGCAGGCGACGACAGCGAGGAGGAGCTGGCCATGCGCGCCATTTGCACGATGGACAGCGAGATTGGGCCCTGCCGGGCCCTCATCCCGCGCTTCTTCTACAACCGCTACACGCAGCGCTGCCAGGAGTTCGACTTTGGCGGCTGCAACGGCAACGCCAACAACTTCGAGACGTACAAGGAGTGCCGCGTCGCCTGCAGGACAGTGCAGAGTAGGCTCGCGCACCCACCACGCCACCATCACCGCCGCCGGCTATCGAGGTCAACGAGCGTGCAGGCAGTTTGTTGTCCTTCCCGCGCGCAATCCGATTTGCAGGGTTGGCTTGCGCGCGGCGTGAAAGAAGTTCCACGTACAGAACGTACGTAACCCCCCCCCGGTGGCCTCGCGTGCCGGAGGGGCCCCACACGCCGAAGGGCCCCACGTGCCAGGGCGAGATATTGTGTTGTTTCTAAACCCATTGAATTTGGCCCCCGGGGTCAGAATACTATATCGTATATGAACCCTGGGATACATGGGATACGTTTACCCCCCCCCCCCCGTCCTCACCTCCTGCAACCTCCTTCCCACCCCCCCCCCGGGTTGAGTTTACTATTTTGGTTTAGGTTGTCTGCTCTTGGTTTCTCATGAAGCTTGTTCAGTTTGGCTTTTGTCCGCATTAATGTGCATCTCCTAAATAAGCTGTATACCCCAAAATAATTGCAGCTGTGAGAAAAGCAGTGGCGAGTGGGTTGAAGGACCACGGGGAGGGTGCGGTTCTAATAATAATGATTTACTGTGTCCTGACTCCCAAGATCAGAAATCTACATGGGTCTAAACACTCCCTCACACCGGACTATGAAGAGGGGTGGGGGGGGGAGGCAGACAGATGGCCCTAATTGGTAAGGCCCACTGAGCTACACAGCTCCTTTTCAGAAGTGATAGCTCAACAAGGTGGCTTAACATGTGGACATTTATAGCAGCCAAATACTCTAAATTCATGTTTTTTTAAATGTGGAGGGAAAAACCGGAGGACCTGGAGAATAATCAAGGCGACCACGGGTAGAGAGAGACGCAAACTCCAAATATACAGGTGTCAGGGTCGAGAGCGAACCCACGACCTCCTGCACACCAGGCGAGGGATTTAACATCTCGCCACCACGAGCCGACTGCAGTGCAAGGATGAGCCCCTGAGCACGTGGTTGTGGTGAGAACGCTTGCCACCAGCGTTATTTATGTATGTATGTTGAACTTGTTTCGCACTGTACGTAGCCAACTGTGCTAATCATAGGTGCGGGGGAAGGACAACAAACTAAACACAGAATAGCAGTTCTAAAGAAATTAGTTTTCAAACTAGATTTTAAAGTGCATAGGTCCATTGGCTTACTAATATGGGACAGAAGAGCATTCCAGACGGCTGCATCTGAAAGCGCGTGATGCGGTGACGGTCTTTGTTTAGCCAAAATCCGCTGCGAGGATGATCGGAGTTTGCGTGATGATGGTTCATGCTCCTTGAGATCAGCAAGGTGTTGTGGTTCATTTGTGGCGAGCACTTTGTGCTGGGTAACGAGCGCGACCTCATCATGCGTTCGTTCGGCCACCAGAAACCAAAGCAGCTCGGGCGAACACTGAACGTCCGATCACGCAGTACCCATCGGGACACGCGCCAGAGAATTTAGTCCCGCGGCGACATTCATCTGCACGGCCTGCCATCGTCATTGCCCTTGCACGTCGGTGTTTAAACCCCCTGCCGTGCCTCCCCCCCCTCCCCCCACCCATCGTAGAGGTGGCCAAGAAGTGCCGCTTGGAGCCGGAGACTGGCCGCTGCCGGGCCGCCATCACGCGTCACTTCTACAACATGACCACGGGCCAGTGCGAGAACTTCGTCTACGGCGGCTGCGGAGGCAACGACAACAACTTCCGCACGACCGAGGAGTGCGTGGAGAGCTGCAGGCGCCCCAAGACCAGAGGTTCGTGCGCCGCTGGGCCCCACAGGTGACGCGTGCGGCCCCATCTGGGGCACCCCCCAGCGGGTGGCTTCGACGCGTTTTAAGATACGTACGGCCCAAGAGACACGCCCCCGCGGTAATTTAGAAAGAAAAAAATTGCGGTACTCTTTTTTGATACAGCAAGGCGACGTAAATGCCCATTGCGCTGCCGATGGAACCCTTCCGATAACGGGGGAGCCCGCGACCAGCGGGGGTTAGTGCTGAGTCACTGGCCAGGAGTTGCCGTAGGTTTAATACGGTTGGAGTTGCGGTGGAACTCCTCGCGTCCGTGACGAAGCGAGGGTGGGGGCCCGACTTCGCCGACCCTATCTGGAATCTAACCGATAACCATGGGGAAGCGTTCACGAGTAGTAGGGCACCCCCCCCCCCCCGCCCCCCAATTCCCACCGTGGGACTGTGCCCCTGCTCACTGAGCATGCGCTGGTGCACGGTGGAGACTCAATAAGGTCGGGGGGGGGGGGGGGGGGGCGGTTAGGATCACGGCAATCAATTTCGATCAACGGGAAACTGCACCGCACGTGATTAGTTAGGTGCGCGGCACTGAGGGCAACGGAAAAGGAGGAGGCGGCGGCTACAAATCGGAGGAGTTGACCCCAAGTTCGAACAATCGCATTTGTGCACACCGCGGGCGTGCGAGGTTTTTCACCGTCGCACGGCGGGAGGTGGGGAGGTGACCGTGTGGTTCGAGCTTGCGTGCTCGTCGATGCTTTTGCAAGGCCGTGAAGCAAAAGCGACCGCGCTCGGCGGGATGTGCGTGGAGGGTGGGAGAGGGCCACGCGTTGGGGTGGTCTCCACCACATGAGTGCGGCGACCGAGGGGAAAACCAAAGAGCACATGTCACGGGGAAGGGGGGTGGGGGGGGGGGCTCCGTGGTGGCGAGATGTTAACTCCCTCGCCTGGTATGCAGGAGATCGTGGGTTTGATTCCGACTGATGCCTGCCTGTATAAATTTGGAGTTTGCGTGTCTCTCTCCCTGTTGGTCGTGCGGATATTTTTCCGGCTCCGATTTTTCCCATCACGTTTAGAATCGACATCACACATTTAGAGTATTTTGTTGCTATACATTTCCGTGCGATAAGCCAATTCGTCGAGCTATCATTTGTAGCGGCCAGGTCGCTTCTTAAATAAATAGCTTCATAGCTCGGTGGGTCTTACCTGGTAAAATAAAAAATAGTTAAAAGTTTTTAGTTTCTACTGTCAGGCCAGAAATTGGAGGTCACGTGTCGTGACTGTGCATCAGCTGTGGGATCAGGCGGAGGGTGGAAGGTGCTGGCGATGAGGTGCGGTGGTGGTGGTGGCATCGATGGCTTTGGCCACGATGACCTCTAGATGTTGACAACGAGGCCGTGTGGAATCGATTATTCTACTTGGTATTCTCTCTACTCTTCCGCTGAAGGGGAGCGGTGGGATCGATAGACACCAATGCATTGCTCAGAGCGAAGTGTTATATCTCGTTCGGACAACGCTGCAGCGGCCCTTTTACTGGGCGTCTGTGAAAAAGAGCTTCATAGCTCATTGGATTTCTGCAGTCTAAATAAATATTCTGATTCTGATGGTTTTTTCCCTCCGCCTTGCCCTCTGCCCCCCCTCCCCCCCTTTTTTCTTCTCATAAGCCACACGGTCGGTTGGTTTGGTTGGCACTGTTACTCTTTGAACGGGCAGAAAAATATCTTACCGTTCCGTACTAACCGCATGCTGATCGAGTTTGTTTGGGCACGTGTTTTAATGTAAACGTGCCCAGGGCGGCTTAATTCCGGCCAGAGTCGTCCTGGGCTGAGTTACAGAAAACATTTCCTTGGTCCCTGAGGCCCCACCTCTTCCTCAGGGTGGTGGGGGTGGTACAAGGGACGGGGGGGGGGGGGGGAGTTTTGTGGGTCCTCACAAAATATGAAAATATTCCGGGAGAAATCAAGCCCCGTATGTGGCATTGGGAAGTTCATTCTGGTGCAAGGAATCAGATCCTCGGTGCAAAGAATGGTGCTGCGGTGGCGAGATGTTGATTCCCACACCTGGTATGCAGGGGAGTCATGGATTCGATCCCGACCCTGACGCCTGCTGTATATTTGGAGTATGCGTGTCTCTCTCCCCGTGATCGTGTGGATTTTGTCTGGGTCCTCCAATTTTTCCCTCCGCATTTAGAATCAACGTGCGTTCAAATGATCTGTTTTGGACGGTTTTACAGATGCAATCGATGTCGTACCCTGAGAGAAAAGTGGTCGAACTGCTGCCCCTGGGTCTGCCAGAGAATCTTAGTGGCTGCATTCACGCCGATGAATTGTCGCCATCTGGGGTCGGGACACTATTTGGTAGGAATGTAATGATTTGTTTCGCCGGTTAAAATCCCGTGCGACCGTTTATGATTGATAGAAATTATATGGATGTTGTAATAGTCCGCACACTGGACGTGCAATGCAGAGATCGCCTTTTTTTCCCATTTGAACTCCCGGCGCAGCAGTTGAAACGACGGTGCAAGTTTTACTCAATACCCCCGCCTCTGTTTACCCTGCGGTACAAACGGCTATGCCACAGTTTATCAATCGGCAGGTCAAGTGTGGGTGGGGGAGAATTGCGAGTACTGCCGCATCTTCCACGGCCATCCGGCCAGCGTGGAAGCGTAGGCCCATGCACCGTCCAGGACAGGGCTCGGCACCCACCCTGCGGCTCCGGAGACGAACGTGGCTCTTTAAGGGGCAGCGTCGTGACGTTGTTTATTAAGGACCCTACCGTCTCGTATTCTTTAAGGGGCTGCGTCATGACGTTGTTTATTAAGAAACCTACCGTCTTGTATTCTTTATAGGGCTGCGTCGTGACGTTGTTTATTAAGGAACCTACCGTCTCGTATTCACGACGCTTTGCGGCTCTTCAAATATCGAGTTTTAGGGGATTATTGTGTCCGTCCGTCCGTCCGTCGTGAATCCAAAAATGGGAGGGAGGGGCTGGGTGGGGAGGGGAGGGAGGGGCTGGGTGGGGAGGGGAGGGGAGGGAGGGGCTGGGTGGGGAGGGTTGGGGAGGGTTGGGGGGGGCTGGGTGGGGAGTGGTGGGGCTGGGTGGGGGGTGGGAGGGGTGGGGCTGGGTGGGGAGGGGCTGGTCACCCCGTGGTGCCCTTATAAAACTCAACGTTTAACCTACTCACGCCGGCTTGTGCCCGCCCTCACAGTCGGGCATATTGTGCGGAATACACCACGTGGTGCCGTTGTTGACCCTGGCCATTGACCGAGCAACCCAACGTTCCTACCGGCTCCCTCCGCAGGAATGTGTTCTTTTTTTCTTACCGAATTTTGATTGCCGACCCCTGGTCTAGGAGGACTCTCTAGAGCTCCCTCTAAGCGGAGGGCCTTCTGCCAGTAGTGGCATGAGCAATACATTGCGGAGCAGCACCTTTACCTTTTTTAATGTGATATACTAAAGCTTCAAATCAAGAACATACTGATGATTTGCAAACGTTATCTAGAGGCTCATGGAAGTGAATGAGATGGAGCAAAACGAAACTTAACCTACGACGAAGACAGTACGCGCGAGACGTTGCAGACCAGGCAAACAGAAAAATAACACAGCTTCTTTGGTTCTTTCGGTAAAGTCGCGTAGAATGAGAATAAAATAATAAATTGATAAAATAAAATAACACGATGAAATTCTCACGACGTTTCGGCCACAACACAAGCGGCCTTCATCAGGTGAATTAAATTGCGACGCTCACATGTGACACTTCATGCGTATTGTTGCTTAGCATGGAAACTGAACCTCCTTAAAGGCGCGCGTTGGGTGTTTTCCTTCATCGATTGCTTCGGTGAAAGCCGCCACACAAATTCCTCTCCCACACGGCTCCTGCAAAAAAAAAATAATAATATTCCTGCCAAGAGAAAGATTGTGAAGGGAGACGCAAGCGCTTGCTGTGCGACGGCTGTTTTTTTTACGCAGAGCAAAGAGATGCCACGTGACAAGATGGTCTCGGATTAATGCGCCCTGTGGGGTTAATGCCCCCTCTGCCACAGACAGCTGTCCTATATTTCCAAAGTGCGGCCGCTCCCAACACCTTCGAGGAGTTTTTCGACAGGGTGGAAGAGCTGGCCAAAGATTCCCCTCTGAAGCGTGGGAGGCCCTTCCGCCAACAGTGTGGCGCGCAGGGGCGCGAGACCTTGCAGGGCTGCGCCTCCTATTTTTCACCTGTTTCAGGTCAAAAGTCCCAAGTGATTTCAAATCTCCCGTGTACAGTGGTTGGAAAATCCACATTCTTATGGCGGGGGATGGTGAGTCTATCCCAGTGTTCTTCACTAATTTTCAGGGTTGCGGGGGGGGGGGGGGCACTTTTGCCGAGAAGACATCAGTGCGAGGGCCGCCACACACACCTGCAAGTTTTTCACATTTGTGCGTTGTCGGGGGTGGGGGGGGGGCCCTTGTCGGGGGGGGGGGGGGCCCACACATCAGGGGCTGCACTAAAGGCCACCAGGGTCTACCAGCGGCCCGTGGGCCTTGCAATGAAGAACACTGGTCTAGCCGTGGTACACCCACCGTTGACTGAACCGCGAGCCGATTCTCTTGCCAATGTCGTCGGGCAGGGATCCCCAAAATCTGCCTGTGGCCGGCCGCACGGGGCAACTGCGAGGACAATAAGCCGCGCTACTTCTACAACGTGGAGAAGCAAGCGTGCGAGACCTTTCACTACAGCGGCTGCGACGGCAATGACAACAACTTCGCAAACGAGGAAACGTGCAAGCACGTCTGCTCCAAAGGTGAGCGACAAGGCAGTAGGTGGGGCGGGGGGAGACGCAGGGGTATCTCGTAGCGCCGGGCGAGCACAGGGGGTTGGCGACCGAAATACAGGAGGCTCTCGATTATCCGCGTGCGGTTTATCCGATTTTTGAGGATTGACCGCGCGCCTGGGATTTTGACGTAAATTAATAACTTACGGATTTTCCCTTAAAGACCAAATGAACGATCTAGACACAGTTGTGCATTGTTATTCTTGAAAATGTTCGTGACCAAGTAACGTCCTTAAACCGAACAAATAATTGCTCCGGTTGATCCAAAACCCACGTGACTACCCCTGCAGTACAGTAGTTGCCAGATCTTTACAAGGGTGGGAGGAGTTTGATTGATGTTGGTTGCTTGGCGTGGCTCTGCTATCCACTTAGTGGGCGGACTCTTCTGCGGGCGAGCAGGAAAGTGTTATCACTGAGCACGGGCATCAATCGGTGATTTATACCTATATTCGTGGTGTTTGGCATAGAGATCTGCGGAATTTTTCTTTTTTAATCCGCGGCCGTCCTCGTCATTAGCGCGGATAATCGAGAGCCTACTGTATCAGAATCAGAATGTGTTTGTTTGTACTGGAGGAATCCAATGAGCTATAAAGCTCTTTGTCACAGATGTCCAGCAGAGGTACCCGGGTCAGAATGTTACAATGACAAACGCAGTCCATAGTATAGGAAAGGTAAGCAAATCACAAAGCGTATATACGAATAAAACTAGACTATTTTATTTTACGAGGTAAAGCCCACTGACCTATTGGCTTCCTTTTTCAGAAGTGGATTGACCGAATGCACCTTGATATATAGAGGACCCACAGAGCTTGGACGATTGTTAGTAGGCGCCAGCTCACCACTTGGCTGCCTTCCTGCGCCCTCCCGAGTCGTCGTTGTCTGTCGTCGCGAGTGAGTGCAATACTGTGCGGTGCATGACAAGTTGAAATTAATACATTTTATATGATCAATTTAAGGTCGAGTTGACCGATTGGAAGCCTGAGCCAAGAAGGCTTCGTGCCACGTGGAAAGGTATTCTTAGGAATTGAAAGTGCCGAGTCAACACCGCTGAGATCCTAGATTAGTTTCTCGGTTTCGCTCCCCTCTTGAATAAACCCATTGTTTATCATTGTCCATGTGGCTGACCCGTTAGTTCATTAGCAGATCCCATGCACTAATTGAATGTTCCTGATTTATAACTGCGGGTGTAATAACCGTGACAATACTATGCGCCGTCAAATATCCCTTGACGTCATTCACAAGAGTTAGGCCATTGTGTATGCTGGCGTAAGGGTATACATTTGCCAAAGTCGAAAATTGCATCGCCAAATTACTCAGTTGGAACTACACACACACACAACAAATGAATGTCCCAGGTCACTCTTGCAAATGGAACGTATTCTGGCCTCTTAAAATGTCACACGGTTAAACACGAAATAAGATGAAAACTTTTTCTTTAAGCATGGTCTCAGCCCAGTCCCCATTGACTGCGCAAAAAAAAACATTACATTAGATTAGGTTTTTTTTTACTTAGCCTGGCTTATTCCAGCCCTGATATTGGATGTTTTCAATTTGACATGCGAAACTTTGTACAAAGAATATAAACGACCTGTGCGATCCCAGTGTGCATTATGAAGTGACTTCAGCAATAGTTCTGTGAACTCATCTTCTGAGGCCCATTGTTAGACGGGACGGTAACCGTGCGAGCGGCGAGAATACTGAAACGGACTTTTATTAATCTATTAACGCAATGTAAATGAAATTAATGCACACGTGGATCATCTGGTTTGCGGTGCTCTCATCAGTGTGCTGAGTCACTGCACGCTATCATACATATAAAGGAGCAGCCCTGCAATTGCTCACTGACATCACTGCCGGCGGAAGAGCCGCTACTGGAGGGACCTCTAGACAACCACTCTGGAGGGTATTGTGACCGCCAGATGTCTTGCAATAGGAGGGAGTACCCACACTTTACCCCACCGCGTGCGACCTGCTAAACGACTTTGGTTTATCTGTTTATCCTGCTGGGTGGACAGCGTCGGGGGGGCGGATTCAAGATACTTGCACCGTTGTGTCCACTGAACGCATCGAACCAGTGACCTCGCGCAAGGGGTCCGTCTAACTATATTCACAATACGTAATATTTTTTTAAAACTTTTTTAAAAAAAACACGCTCTAATGAAATGTACCGTGCTAGTAATGGAAGAACTCCACGAATCCAGGAAGTGGCCCCGAAGCTTGCCATAACGTAAGGGGACCGTGGTGATTTACAGCCAACGTGAGTTGTGCGTGGACAATTAGACCCAAGCCGAAACATAACATATAGAAAAGAATGTTTTAAAATACATCTTTTTTATTTTTTATGATAGAATATAGTATTGTCATCAGTATGACATAAGTATACCAAGTTTGCAGTCGATACCACATTGGGAGGTGGGTTAAAATTTAGTTACGAGATTTGAGGATACAACAACGACATCAACAGACACGAGTGAGTTAAATAAAAGCGTGTGATAAAAGAAAACACCGCTCGCCACTAAGTGGCGGTGACATTCTCACATCGCTTTGTGCCAGTGCGTGGTGCACCTTGAGGCCACGTGAAGTCTTGGAAGGCTTGCAAGCAGGAGGTTGCGGAACAGACCCAGGTGCCGTGGGTTGACTGGTCGAGATGACTTGCAGATGCACACTACACTACAACAAAGATCCTCCATGTAGCTTTAACAGACTCTTTGGGCAAGTGCCGTTCGCGAGCACCTATGAAGGCCGGCACGGCACACAAGGGGGTGTGAGGCTAGTACCATGCCCGGCCTCCTTTGTCTTCCCAGTGGCCATGTTTACACACTGCAGCAGGTACTCATTTGAGGCTGAGTCGACCTAGGGTAGGCCCAGGACCGGTTCGTATAATCGTCACTGGTGTTGGCCGTGAAAGGGAATCGAACCAGGGTCGCCAGGTTCGTAGCACAGCGTAGCGCTAACCGCTACACCACCGCTCCCCACACACGCACGCAAACGCATACGTACACACATGCGCGTGGATTGTTGATTTAACCTCAATGTTTTCTGTTTCTTTCCTTTACCCACCCCCACCCCCCCCCCTCCCCCGGAAGACATGAGAGCCTCAACTTCGATGATCCAACCCAGAGGCAAACCATTCGGCAGCCGGCTAAGAGCGGGCATGAGGACCAGGGAGTGGAGGATAAAGCAAAAACAACTTCGGAAGAACGGCGAACGAGCAGACCGCACGGAGCATCGAGGGCAGAACTGACAAGAGCACACAATTGCAGGCGCCGTCTGTAGTCGCGAGGTCGGTTGGGTTTCATAGCAAGAGGCACCGACCGTGTCATTGACGTACTTCTTTTTTCTTATTTAACCCGCTTTCACCACTTTCGGTTGCGCCGTCCGAACTCAACGCAAACGAATGTGGCTGCGTGTGAAAGGAAGTGACTGCGTCGAGGTGGAGTCACCGATGTTGATGGTTCAGGCGGCGGCTCTCCAGTTAACTCAATTTAAAAGTCACGCGCCCGTTCTTATTAAACGCAACGCGCTTATCCCTCGCACCGGCATCTGCCGTCTCCTGCGAAATTTTTACTTGCAGTATGCGCATACTTAGTTGTTGTTTTCCCCCCCCGCCCTCCCCCCCCCCCCCTCCCCCATCTCATTACAAGTTGTGCTGTCGGTTATCGTGTGTCGAGAGTCAAAACAAAATCCATTTCGGAAATCTCGCGGAGCAGAGAAGCATCCCCGAGAACGGCTGCTGCGGAAGAGATTTTTGAAGGCGCCTTTTAATTATCTAAGCGCAGCAGGGGGACACACTGTCCTGCACGCTCGGCCACGCAAGTATCACGCGACCGTCAGACCCCCGTATGTTTCATTCTCAGCGCCTGGGAATTTAGCCAAATTGAGTGCAAAACCTAATTTGACACGATGGGTTATTTGTGCGGTCATTCGTAACTGGGTTCAGACTCTCAACTTGCTAGAGCTGAATAAGTGCCCGGTTAATCACGGCTGGGTGAAACCCGGATTTGAACCCAGGGTCTCAGCATTGCCTGCTTCGTGCTCTGACCTCTGACCAACTGGCAACATGAAAAATTGTAATTAAGTTAAGAGGTGCAGCCCTGCAAATCCTTGCTCATGCCACTGCTGGCATTAGGGCCTCCCCTAGAGAGCGCTCCGGAGGGGACAGAATTTGGCCTACTCTTCCATGCTCACCAGATGGCTTGGAAGAAGCGGGGAGTACCCACACTTGCGCCATTGTTTCGACCGCCAAAACCGAGAGGTCAAATCGAACCGGTGACCTCATGGATTGCCAGTCCGGTGTGCTAACCGCTACATCACGGGAGTGTGTTTGGTGTTTTCATAGCACGCATAGCTGGTTTAAACACCGCCAGCCAGTGAACTGTAATTGGTTCGTACAGCGACCTGAGCGAGGGACCCCCCGTGCTCTTTTGCAGCCAGCCACGGAATGCTCCGCGATTGATCTGGCAAAATCGTTTTTTTAAAAAGGGTCTAACCTCTGTTCCGTCCGCCGTTCATCATTGCGCAAAAAAAAAAACGGAACGGAACACAAACATGACGCAAACGAGCGGAGGCTCGGCTTTGGAGATGGACATTTTTTTGTTAAATCGTTTTTAATCGGGTGTAATTGAGTTTTATTGGCTAAATAAGCATTTCCAGACGGACTGAGAATGTAGGCTCTTGTTGCGTGCGGTTATGCACTGCGACCTAATTAAGCCATCAACAGGCAATATATTTGCAATCGTTACCACGCGGTGTACGATAGGTGTTAGAAGTCTTTAAATCAGCGGTTCTGAACCCATCTGGGGGTGGGTGGGGGGGGGTAAGGGCGGGCTGTGTGGACAAGGGGTCTCCTTCTACTTGGGGGACCCGCCGGAAACCCAAAAAGAACAGTCGCGCCACGTACCGGGGTGATTCGTTTCAGAATGCGTTTCCACCAAATTTCTGTTGAATTTTTCCAACTCTGACGAATCGAACCTCGCAAAAGTGACTTCCGTGCAAGTTGTCCGCATCGCCACCGACACTGGCCAGGAAAAAGCCATCCCGGTGTCGGTGCCCCATTAGGACACCTCCGAAACAAAAGGGGCTTCCACAGCTCGGGTCCAAAGGGAAAGCTTTTCGGATCCTGAGCAAGTTCTCCCATCGCACCGTTCGCCCGGCGTCGCGGCCGCTGGGCTCGCGTCCGAGCGAGGGCGCCATTCCCCGCGGCAGCTCTCTCCAATAAAACGTTAGACGTTCTGCGTTAAGCGGCGGCGGCGGCGGCGGCAGCGGCGACGCGAGCGTGGGGTCACGGGGGCCGGGGCGACGGCGGCATCCTGACCCCGTGTTCACGTGCAACGACGGTTCGCGTCGCATTGCTCCCACGCCGTGAGTCATCGTCATCTAAATATCCAATTCCGCAGCTCTGATTGCCGCTGTGGGATTACGCTGCTGCGGAGAGATTTAATCATCGCCGCGCTCAATTTTTGCAGGAATCGCATTCCGTCGTGGCCGCTGCTGCCGCCACCACCATTGCTCCATCCATCAATTGGACGTCAGCTTCTCGCCGCCATGATCAAATGTGGCGAGGTTAAAGGCGCAGCCCTGCAATGTCTTTGCTCGCTCCACTACTGCTGGCGGAAGGGCCCTCCACTAGAGAGAGAGAGAGCTCTCGAGGGGCCCCGCCAGACTTGCAGTGATTCTGCGACTCCAGTCTCATTTGCAAGACTCACCTGGGTGACCAATTATGCCAGAGGATTAAAATAAAATACACTCCAGGGGGGCGCTATAGAGAGCTCCCTCTGGAGGATATTTTACCGACTCCTCCCCACTAAGATGTCCCGAAAGAGGGGAGTACCCACACTTCACCCCACCACACGCAAACCTGCTGAACGCCTCATATTTTTCCATTGCCATGACTCTGCTCTTTTTTTTCTGGTGGGTGCGTTCCCATCAGATCATCAGCACCGGCTGCGTTAACAGGAAAAACATTTTTAATTGACCAGCGCAAACTGCGAGCGGCGCTCCGATGTGCGTTCTAGGAGTTGTGCCATACGCGCCGCACAATGTTCCCAACTTTTCGCCCCACGTGCTGCGAGCTTCCTTCAGGAACTCACCGTGCCGAACATTACGCGCGGCACAACCCGAAAACACATTGGAGAGCTGTGCCGCACAACCGCGAAAAGCCTACTCGCGCATTCGTAAATGCGGCTGTGGGTTTTTCCAATAAACACAAACACGCACAGATCGCCCAACACGCTGTGATTTAGCAATGTCCTCGTGCTATGAATGTGCCTGTCAGTGGACGTAGCGTGGTTGGTATGGGCCCTTGTGTAAGGGAGGGAATGCCCCCCCCCCCACCCCCACTTCCACCCCCGCTGTCCACTGTTAGATTTGCCCCCCCCCCTCCCCCTATTCACAGCCCAGCACCCGAGCCACTCTGGCCTGTTGGTGCCAGTGCAGTTGCACCGCCTGCACGCTTCTCACAGCCGCGCCGCTGGTGCCCATGTTTTGGGGCGGGGGGGGGGGTAATTCCTCTGTGCGGTGGAAAAATTTGAATAAGGAGACTCGTAGACACCGCGGGTGTGTATGTGTGTTCGTTTGCCGTGTTTGCTGTGAAGTTGCGTGTACACTCACTAATTGTTTTTCTAAGTACCAATGACGGTCCTTGTGGGGTATTTCTCCGCGAAGGGAACCAGACGATTGTGAATGTAAATGTACAGCAGCGTAGAGCAAATGGGGGCGTTATTAAATTGAATTCGGTTCGGGGTTAATTTGTTTAACCGGGTGACAACTCAAGATACCAGGAGAGCCTCATTAGCAAGTGATCCGGGTCACCAATATTGTGCAAAGGTAATAAAACAAAATTCGGTCAGGAGAAATAAAGCAACAAAAATCGGGGCAGAACAACCACGTGACAGGCAAAATAAAAAAAACTGCACATATCCTTATATATTACAATATTAAATTAACTGAAACTACCCGTAGCATAAGCTGGCTTGGTAAAATGATTATTCATGACCCAATCCTCGTTCACTATCAAAATAAAACTGATACTGTGTAGTCGCCCTTCGTGTCAATCCGCTGCAAGAAGCCTTACCCCCCCCACCTTCCTCCACGCCACGTCGATCATGGGAGTTGTTTGACCATTGGGTTGTTGCAGTGGCCGGTCAGTGCGGGTGGGTGAGGGGGAGCAGAGGTGGCCCAGGGCTGGCTTCATGCGCCACCCCCCGCCACCGACCTTAGGCACGTGGCAGGCGTTGAACCGTCGGATGTGTGCTGCAGGGTTTTGGAGCGCAGCGCGTGACACCACTGGCGCCAACGCCTCTCGGGTCACAGTCAAGAGTTGAGATGGACGTCGATTTGAAGCGCTGGGTGTGTGCGTCGTGCGAAAAGAGTTTTTGGGATTTGGAGAAAGTAGAAAGAAAAAGACAAAAAGTGCATTCATTTTGGGTCTGCGGGAGCCACTCCTCTGAGCGGAGCACCTTCCGATGACAGCCCGCAAGGCCAACAAATGGGGAGTTGTGGTGGACACATGTCTTCGTCAGGTCGTGTTGTGTTGTCGAGCGGTCGCTTCATCTTGTGAGGACCCTCTTCCTCCCGTGCATTATGAGACGCTACGGCATGCAAGACCCGCACCAAAACGTGTGCCCTGTGTCAATGTGTGTACTCGTCCGATCAATTACACGCTCACACCTCTGCACGCCGATTACAAGATGCACGTAACGCGTTTTGCTTCTAAAATACCGATTTAAAAAAATATATGTAGTGCGTCTTATAATCCAGATAGGATATACGGCAGTGGTGATCTTAACCGTGGCAGAATTAGTGTTTTTTTTAATCGTCACCAAACACTATGGCTTAACGACACGACGAGTATTTACTTGCATCGTATTTTGTTTGTCGTGTTCGTCTCACTAAAGAAAAGTTGTTACGTGATTTTGTTGTTTTGTTGTTGTACGCTTGCAAAAAAAATACATTTTATTTTCACACTTCAGTAATCGATGCACTACATTTTTCTTCCTTTGGAGAAACAAAAAAAAAATCCGAGTTATTTTCACCATGGTAAATAATAAAGGGCACTTCACCAAAACGGCGTGCAGCAACACGTGGCGTTGGACGTAGGGGTCAGCGGTGTCTGTGTCGTAGTCAACGGCAATGGTGTTGCCACGCTTCTCGTACGCGTGGGTCTTTTTTTTTCCTCCTGCTCAATAGCCGCGCTCACGTGCGGTGTGACCCAGGGGCCCCAGAATGATGCGGTTCGCAATCGCAACTTTGGCAGTCGAATCCTATTTTGGTGGGTCTGGGGGGGGGGTTGACTCGGCCAATCATTCCGCTCTCTAGAGTCGACGAAATGAGTAACCACGTGGTGGAGACGTCAACAGTCGTCCTGTGGATGTACTCGCCCCCCCGCCGCCGCCATATGAACGCGGAATTTCCACCGCCGGCTTACGCCTGTAAACAGGAGAGGAGGAGCTGCCCTCCATGCTCATCTGAAAAGGAAAATACTTAGACTTTAGATTTTTAGTCTCGGTCTGTTTATAGCTAATCCCCAGTGTCCAAAACATGCAATCAATACGGCGAGATTGAAAGCGTGAACGTGAATTTGTGTATGCTAATTTTGTCTCATTAGCTGCGGCGGTGTTTTTTGTTGGCGCCAGCGCCAGCGTAAGTAAGCACTCTTTTTCTAAAGCATGGTTGGGGCAAATAAATACGTTTTGATTTGAAACGCGTGATTGTTGCAAGGTGTCCACGCGACTATCATCACTCCCGCAGTCACGTCGTGACGCGACTATTAAAATAGTTGTTTTGGCTTACAGTCCACTGCTGGATGGAGTGGAACAGCGATGGCGGTGGTTGGGGTGCCACGGTGGCGAGATGTTAACTACCTCGCCTGGTATGCAGGAGGTCGTGGGTTCTATCCAGACCCTGACGCCTGTATATGTTGAGTTTGCGTGTCTCTCTGCCCCTGGTCTAGTAGATTTTCCTCCGCGTCCTCCGGGTTTTCTCTCCACACTTAGAATCAACATCACGCGTGAAGAGTATTTGGCTGCTATACATTTGCACATGATGAGCCACTTCGTTCAGATATAATTTGTGACCGGGTTGCTTCTGAAAAAAACATCTACATAGCTCAGTGGGCCTTGCCTGGTTAAAATAAAGTGACTAGTTTTATAGACATTTGGCTTATTTTTACCACGCTGGCTAGATCAGAATCTATATTTAGACTGGAGGAATTCGATGAGCTTATGAAGCTCTTTTTTTTTCACAGTTGTCCGGTGTAGATGTCGTGTTAAGAGGGCGGGAAGCACCGACGCGTTACCCCTCCGCCGCACGTGACATTACCGTTCGACTCGCTGTGGAGTGACCCGTTCGCACTGCTGGCTGCGCCATGCAGAGGCGCGGAGGGAATTTTAAGAAACTTTCCAGTTTCAGCTGCCACCCTAGGAGATGGCATAGAACTGGTGCCCTCTGCATCGGAAGTAGTCCGGCGCGCTGACCGTCACATCACTGTGGAAGCAAAATTGAATGCGAAAACGTTATGTAAACAGTGGAAAAGTCGCTTTCCGTGGTGCTAACGTTGAAAAGAAAAAAAAAACCGCCACCTTTTTTTCGACATAGAATTGTAATGTATAACGACTTATTGTTAGTAGCTCAGCTGATTGGAGAGTATATTGAGTTTATTGATAACATTGATGTAGTTTATATTTTAGTTTTTTATCAGTTTACTATGTGGTTTTCATTATATAGTGTAGTGTATACCTAGTTTCTTTATGTTAATGGCTCAACTTATTGAAGAATATATTGAGTACATTTATTATATTGACGTAGTTTATACTTAGTTCTTTCACATCGGCGTATTGTATGATAGTTGGGTAGTTGCAGTTCTTTAGAGTCGATATACTAAATGCCTCTGTTGATATGTAAACTCTGACTTTAACATAGCTACTTCCGTGACCAGTTACATGCTAATCCCTCACATTAACATCATGCTAATCTCCCAGTTACATGCTAATTTATGACTTTAACACCCTGCTAATCCAACACTTTAACACAGCTATTTCAATGCTAAATTCCTCGGTTGATATGTAAACTCCTTTGTTAAGGCGCTCTGCTCCTCCCACCCAGCTTAAAAGACGCTGGGAAGCTTAGCAGTGTTCATTGAAGCGCTGTCGTCCCGACAGTTATGTTCCTTCACCTGAAGAAGGCCACTTGTGTTGTGGCCGAAACGTCGTGAGAATTTTATTTTATTATGTTTTATTTTTATTATTTTATTTCCATTCTACGTGACTTTACCGAAAGAACCAAGAAGATGAATCCCTGCAGTCACGAAAGCTTTAAATCGAAACTTAGTGGAAAGTACAGCTGCATTTTACCAATCAATCACACGCACATACATATAAACGAGGTCAAATATCCTCCGCATAGCAAGTTCTGTGAGCGAGCAGCACCTATGATGGTGGCACGGCACACGAGGGGGTGGGGTTGCCAGCACCACACCCGGCCGCCTTTGTCTCTCGAGTGGCGATGTTTACGCACCGCACCAGGTACCCATTTGAGGCTGAGTCAATCTAGGGGAGGCCCAGGACCGGTTGAAATATTCGCCACTGTTATCGGTGGTAATGCAGCGCGCTAACCGCTGTACCACCGCTCCCCACACGCGCACACACAAAGACAAAGATCTCCCGTAAAGACTAAACATAATGTTGGGGCAAGTGCTGTTAGCGAGCACCTACACAAAAAAGACAAATATCCCCCGTATAGCCTTAACATACTGTTGGGGCAAGTGCTGTTAGCGAGCACCTACACAAAAAAGACAAAGATCCCCCGTATATCCGTAACATACTGTTGGGGCAAGTGCTGTTAGCGAGCACCTACACAAAAACAGACAAAGATCCCCCGTATAGCCTTAACATAATGTTGGGGCAAGTGCTGTTAGCGAGCACCTCCACAAAAAAGACAAAGATCCCCCGTATAGCCTTAACATACTGTTGGGGCAAGTGCTGTTAGCGAGCACCTACACAAAAACAGACAAAGATCCCCCGTATAGCCTTAACATATTGTTGGGGCAAGTGCTGTTAGCGAGCACCTACACACAAAAAGACAAAGATCCCCCGTATAGCCTTAACATACTGTTGGGGCAAGTGCTGTTATCGAGCACCTACACAAAAACAGACAAAGATCCCCCGTATAGCCTTAACATACTGTTGGGGCAAGTGCTGTTATCGAGCACCTACACAAAAACAGACAAAGATCCCCCGTATAGCCGAAACATACTGTTGGGGCAAGTGCTGTTAGCGAGCACCTACACACAAAAAGACAAAGATCCCCGTATAGCCTTAACATACTGTTGGGGCAAGTGCTGTTATCGAGCACCTACACAAAAAAAACAGACAAAGATCCCCCGTATAGCCTTAACATACTGTTGGGGCAAGTGCTGTTATCGAGCACCTACACAAAAAAACAGACAAAGATCCCCCGTATAGCCGTAACATACTGTTGGGGCAAGTGCTGTCATTGAGCACCTACACAAAAAAACAGACAAAGATCCCCCGTATAGCCGTAACATACTGTTGGGGCAAGTGCTGTTATCGAGCACCTACACAAAAAAACAGACAAAGATCCCCCGTATAGCCGTAACATACTGTTGGGGCAAGTGCTGTTATCGAGCACCTACACAAAAACAGACAAAGATCCCCCGTATAGCCGTAACATACTGTTGGGGCAAGTGCTGTTATCGAGCACCTACACAAAAAAACAGACAAAGATCCCCCGTATAGCCGTAACATACTGTTGGGGCAAGTGCTGTTATCGAGCACCTACACAAAACAGACAAAGATCCCCCGTATAGCCGTAACATACTGTTGGGGCAAGTGCTGTTATCGAGCACCTACACAAAAAAACAGACAAAGATCCCCCGTATAGCCGTAACATACTGTTGGGGCAAGTGCTGTTATCGAGCACCTACACAAAACAGACAAAGATCCCCCGTATAGCCGTAACAGACTGTTGGGGCAAGTGCTGTTATCGAGCACCTACACAAAAACAGACAAAGATCCCCCGTATAGCCGTAACATACTGTTGGGGCAAGTGCTGTTATCGAGCACCTACACAAAAAAACAGACAAAGATCCCCCGTATAGCCGTAACATACTGTTGGGGCAAGTGCTGTTATCGAGCACCTACACAAAACCGACAAAGATCCCCCGTATAGCCGTAACAGACTGTTGGGGCAAGTGCTGTTATCGAGCACCTACACAAAAACAGACAAAGATCCCCCGTATAGCCGTAACATACTGTTGGGGCAAGTGCTGTTATCGAGCACCTACACAAAAAAACAGACAAAGATCCCCCGTATAGCCGTAACATACTGTTGGGGCAAGTGCTGTTATCGAGCACCTACACAAAAACAGACAAAGATCCCCCGTATAGCCGTAACAGACTGTTGGGGCAAGTGCTGTTATCGAGCACCTACACAAAAACAGACAAAGATCCCCCGTATAGCCGTAACATACTGTTGGGGCAAGTGCTGTTATCGAGCACCTACACAAAAAAACAGACAAAGATCCCCCCTATAGCCGTAACATACTGTTGGGGCAAGTGCTGTTATCGAGCACCTACACAAAAACAGACAAAGATCCCCCGTATAGCCGTAACAGACTGTTGGGGCAAGTGCTGTTATCGAGCACCTACACAAAACAGACAAAGATCCCCCGTATAGCCGTAACATACTGTTGGGGCAAGTGCTGTTATCGAGCACCTACACGCGCGCACATGACTACTCGGGCGTGCATCGCGTGGCGTAGTATTTTGTTGGGCTGGCGCCTTCTCGGTCGGCCGTTTTGTTCCCTTCTCTGATAAGGTGAAAGAGCGCGTTAAGTTCTCCAACCATTACAAAAGCTGCTCCATCCAGATGCCCTTCAAATAGACAAGTGGGGAAACACCCCTAAGGGGGGGGGTGGGTGGGGGGTGGGGGTGTCTGCCTCCGGCTGATAGAGGCTCTTGTTTGCGGGGGGTTTTTTCCGTCCTCCCCCCGGAGGCGAACGCCGTTGCTATATTCTCATGGGAACGTTTCCCCCTGTGGGTTCATGCGTGGGGGGAGCGATGGGATGGGAGGGCTTGGGGAATACCTTTTCTGGATTCGCGAGATGTTCTTTTGCCCTTGTTTGACGTCTGTGCGCCTCCGCGTCCATTCGAGAAGCTGCCCTCTCTTTAAGCGATGGCGGGGTGGGGGAGTCGTTTGTTTGTTGTGGGGGATTTTTTTTCGTTGTCATCTGCGTCGCATTAAATTCAAACCACCCCCCCCCCCGCCCGCCCCCCGGGGGAGCTGTTTGCTGGCTACCCTTGTAGTCGTGCCCACGTTTTGCTTTCAAGCCGAGTTTTTTTTTTATATTTCGTTTTGTTTTGTTTTATATATCGCCGCACACATTGGAGAGAGTGGGCGGGCGCCGGGGGATAGAGAGAGAGAGGAGGGGGGGAGGTAAAACCAAAAAGCCTACACACAATGATTGTTGCGTCTTGTTTACCCGGTGCGGCAAAGTGTCAATGGCCCGAAGGTCGTAGACACGATCCGTGACACCGGCGGCGCTTTGGGGTGAGCGTGTCGGTTCAAACCTCGCGTGAACCCCCAGCTTAAAATGTTCAAGGCGCAGCCCTTTTAGCCAGCCCTACGACTGGCAAAAGGGCCTCGACTGAAAGGACATTCAGAGAGACTCGCTCAGGTGGGGGG